AAATATTTTATTAGGAAGGCGAAGAATATATTTTAAGTATTTAAGGATATTTAGATATGATGTTTAGGTATTGCAATATTTTCGTGATGAAAGAGCAAACTTTCCAAAGTTCGACTCTGATAAATACCTGCTAAATGCCTGATGAAACGCTCTGAACGATTAAAATCCAGCCGTGGTCCGCGTAATTTCTGGACTACGTATTGAAGGATCAACGACGGATCGTGACAATCGTGGGGCCCGATCGAGAGAACAACACGAGGAGCGCTCGACTCGCTGGTGCCTGTGCGACTGATTCAGGAATCGGACATGAAGTGGCAACCAACGCAGGTTTACGTTTACCTGATCGAGAGAGTGAGTCAGCCCACGGAGAAAGAGAAAGAAGGAGGGAGAGAGAGAGAGAGAGAGAGAACGTGGCCGAGGAAACCGATGGAGGAAGATAGAAAGACAGAGAGAGAGGAAGAATGAGAACAACAAATAAAGGTAGGGAACCAAAGAGCAGGAGAAACTACGGGGCGAAGCGAGCGGGTAAAAGAGAACCAAATGGAGGGCGAGAGAGAAGGAGGGGAGGGGGAGAGGACAAGTAACAGGTGAGAGAAAATCAGGAACGTAGACAACAGGACACGACGACTGAAAGCAATACTTTCCGACCTGGAAGGCCCCCCCCCCCCCGATTCCGTTAAAGTTACCGCGCGCTGAAGACGTCTCAAGCGTCTCGCGATATTTTCCTCCTATGAAGATACAACGATCGGAGGACAGGATGATCCTCGAGGAAGGGCTTTATCTCGAAGTCAGGAGACTTCGCTTTCGGGCCCGAAAATCGCAGCTACGCCCGTAAGACCGGCTCCTACACAACGTTGCCAGATTAGCAGACTGCAGCTACATCACGGATGCAGAGTTACATGGTGCAGTCCTCCCAGGTGCAGCGTGCTCCTCTCCGGAACTCCGCCGTGCTATCGAGAGTCTGATAACAGGGCCGTATTCGAGCGACCCGGGCAGCATCATCGGATCGTATCGTTGCTTCGTATCGCGATTACGCGTGACTCAAAAAGGGGAAAAAAAATTCCGGGATCCATTGTGAAGAGCAACGAGAAGGGAAGATACAGCGATACCAGAGAGAAGAATGTGCATCATGCACGAGCATCGGGGCTGATGATATAACGAGGTTGGCTCGCGTGACACGATGTGTTTCCTAATGTCTGGATGCACCGGGTGTGCCGGGATGTGAACAGCGATAATTACGAATAAGCGCGGCAGGAACTACATTCTCCGGCATTCTGTGATACGCTTCGATCTTTGCAATTCAGCGCGAAAGTATTATCTATTAATAGTACAAGGCTAAAACGCGACGTGGTGCGACACGTTGATTTCAACTTTTTACAGGAGAACGTGAAATTTTTCCGATCATGTGTATCCTGTATGGAAGGAACGGTTTTGCTAAAGTGTTCAAGATTTAGCTAGATACAAAGCTGAGAATGTGAAAGAAAAAAATTGGCTGCTGCAGCAGATTAG